CGCGCGCCCTGAATACAGAGGGACGGAGGGGAAAAAGGGAAGGAAGGAAAGACAAAAGGGAGGAAAGGAAGGAAAGGAAGAAGGGAGGAGATAAGGAAGGAAGGAAGAATGAAAGGGTGGAAGGGAAGGGAAAGAGGGAGAAAGAGGGAGGGAAGGAGGAAAGAGAGAAGGAAGGAAGGAAAAGAGAAGGAAGGAGAGGAAAGGAGGAAAAAGAGAAAGAGAGGAGGAAGAATGAAAGAGTGGAAGGGAATGGAAAGAGGGAGAAAGGGGGGGGAAGGGAGGAAAGAGAGAAGGAAGGAAGGGAAGGAAGGAAGAAAGGGAAGGAAGGATTAAAGGGTGGAAGGGAAGGATGGAAGGAGAAAGAGGGAGAGAGGAAAGAGGGAAGGCAGAAAAGACAAAAGGGAAGGAGGGAGGGAGGGAGGGAGGGAAGGAAGGAAGGAAGGAAGGAAGGAAGGAAGGAGGGAGGGAAGGAGGGGAGGGAGTAAAGGAATGAGGGAGGAGAAAAAGAAGGGAAAGAAAAGGAAGGAAGGAAGGAAGGAAGGAAGGAAGGAAGGAAGGAAGGAGGAAAGAAAGAAGGAAGGAAGGATAAAAGGGTGGAAGAGAAGGAAAGAAAGAAAGGAAGGAAGAAAGGAAGGAAGGAAGGAAGAAAGAAAGAAGAACAAAAGAGTGGAAGGGAATGGAAAGAGAGAGAAAGAAGGAGGGCATGGGAGGGAGGGAAAGAGAGAGAAGGAAGGAATAGGAAAGAAAGAGAGGAGAGAATAATGAAAAATGGAAGGAAAGGAAAGAGGAAGAAAGAGGGAGGGAAGGGAGGGGGAAAGAGAATGGAAGGAAAGAAAAAAAAGAAGGAAGGAAGGAAGGAAGGAAGGGAAGGAAGAAAGAACAAAAGAGTGGAAGGGAATGGAAAGAGGGAGAAGGAGGGAGGGGAGGGAGGGAGGAAAAAGAGAAGCAAGGAAGGGAAGGAGGAAAGAAAGAGAGGAGAGAAGAATGAAAGAGTGGAAGGGAATGGGAAGAGGGAGAAAGAGGGAGGGAAGGGTGGGAGGGAAGGAAGGAAGGAAAGACAAAAAGGAAGGAAGGAGAAAGAGGGAGAGAGGGAAGGAAGGACAGAAGGGTGGAAGAGAAGGAAGAAGGAAGGGAAGGAGGAAAGAAAGAAGGAAGGAAGGATAGAATGATGAGAGAGAGGAGGGCCTGAGAAAAGAGCCCTGGGCCTGAGTTTGCCCATACCTGATCTATACTGTTGAATTGATGCAGTTTGGCAACACTTTTCCTGCCATGGCTTGACGCTATGGATTTCTGGGAGTTTTAGTTTGATGAGACCTTGAGCCTCCTATGCCGGAGAGAGTTGGTGCTTCACTAGAATTCCAGAGCATTGAGCCATTGGAGTTAAAGTGCTGCAAAACTGCATTAATTCTACAGTGTAGATGTAGTCAGTGTGGATGACTTCTCAGATCGGTTTTGGTCCTTTAGACTTCAACTCCCAGAATGCTGAATCATTGGACCTAATGGGACTCCTGGGGACTATAAAACAATTGGCAAAGTGGAGAACTACAAGTGCGAAGCACTCTCTGATTATGTAACAGCGGAAACCAAAAACGGACCACGGTGCCTTTAAATCTTGGAGCAGAACTCTTTTGTGTGTTGCTGATTTTAGTAAAAAACAGCCCAAACGCAGTGTTGTGTTTGCCTTGGTTCCTTTCCCTCCTGGGATCAAGGTTGGCACTCCTGCTGGCACCAATTAACGGCAATCGACTCAAGAGCAAACGATGCTGTGATATAGGGTTGGCAAGGTGGGGAGATCAAGGACAGCGAACCTTTCCTTACGGGAGAGCGAACACCGGAGAATGAGCCTTGCAATTTGCAACAAAACCAAAACTGGAGTGTTGTGTGGTTTCTGTGCTACATGGCTGTGTTCTAGCAGCATTTTCTCCTGATGTTTCACTTGCATCTGTGGCTGGCATCATTAGAAGAAGAAGATCTACAAGCCACTCTAAACACCTTCGCAGAAGCATACGAGAAGCTCGGCCTATCATTGAACATCGAGAAAACCAAGGTGCTGTTCCAGCAGACACCAGCCAACCCCTCTCCAATGCCAGAGATACAGCTTAATGGTGTAACATTAGAAAATGTTGATCATTTCCGCTCCCTTGGCAGCCACCTCTCCACCAAAGTCAACATCGACACCGAAATACAACACCGCCTGAGCTCTGCGAGCGCAGCATTTTTCCGAATGAAGCAGAGAGTGTTTGAGGACCAGGACATCCGTAGGGATACCAAGGTGCTTGTTTATAAAGTCATTGTCCTCCCAACCCTGCTGTATGCCTGTGAGATGTGGACTGTCTACAGACGTCACATGCAACTCCTGGAACGATTCCATCAGCGCTGCCTCCGGAAAATCCTGCAAATCTCTTGGGAAGACAGGCGGACAAACGTCAGCGTGCTGGAAGAAGCAAAGACGACCAGCATTGAAGCGATGGTCCTCTGCCATCAACTCCGCTGGACCAGCCACATTGTCCGGATGCCCGATCACCATCTCCCAAAGCAGTTGCTCTACTCCGAACTCAAGAATGGAAAACGGAATGTTGGAGGACAGGAAAAGAGATTTAAAGATGGGCTCAAAGCCAACCTTAAAAACTTGGGCATAGACACCGAGAACTGGGAAGCCCTGGCCCTTTACTGCTCCAGCTGGAGGTCAGCTGTGACCAGCAGTGCTGCAGAATTTGAAGAGGCACGAATGGAGGGCGAAAGGGAGAAGCGTGCCAAGAGGAAGGCGCGTCAAGCCAACCCTGACCGAGACCGCCTTCCACCTGGAAACCAATGCCCTCACTGCGGAAGAAGATGCAGAGCAAGAATAGGGCTCCACAGCCACATACGGACCCACAAGAATACCTGAAGACAATCCTCCTCGGAAAACGAGGGATCGCCTAAGTAAGTAAGTAAAGTTTTCTTAGAAGATGCCAGCCACAGATGCAGGTGAAATGTCAGGAGAAAATGCTGCTAGAACACAGCCATACCACCCAGAAACAACACAACACGGTAGTGATTCCAGCCATGAAAGCCTTTGACAAAACCAACATCAATTGCAAGTCTTAAGCCAGTAATTCCCAAAACTCGAATTCTCCAAGTGTTTTGGATTCCAGCTTCCAAAAACCTTGGCTGGTTTGGGCAATGATTAAAATCCTGGAACCTGGAAGACCAAAGTTTGGTAAACACTGCCTAAAACCCACATCTGTTGCAAATCTTTTTAAATTTTCTCTCCAAATGCAAGATCTGGAAAGCGGAAATCCCCGAAAGCCTCGGCGAGTCTCCGCATCACGTTTTTGGGGTGCTGCCGTTGACCTTCCTGAGACTCAGCTGCTCCGGCGTGGCTTGGAGGGGGTGGGTCAAGCTGACCTGGGCGTTGCTGAAGGAGGCGATGCGCCCGCTGCCCCCGATCTGGATGTTGACCGTCGTGGAATAGCTGACCCTTTGCTGGCTCTTTTCGGGGGGCCTCGCTCCATCCGCATTGGTGGGAGAGTCCGGCTTGGGGCAACCGTACCCTTCCTCTGCCGGAGGGTTCGCCCTCCGTTCCCTGTTCACGTACTTGAGGCACAAGCCGGGCACGTTGGGCCACTTGATGCCACTGAGGTCCTGAGGCTGACCGCCGAGGGTCGGACCGGAGTCTCCGTTCGTGGACTCTGTTGTCCCACGGTCTGGTAAACTGTTTCCCCGAGGCCTCGACCGAGGAAAGGGAGACACTACCGTACCTCTGATGGCTGAGTTTGGTGCCAAAGCCACAGGAGAAGCCATATGGACCGGCGCATGCCCAGGAGGATGAGCACACAATGGCGTAAAGGTGCAGCCTTGGAGTCTGACTGGAGGAGGAGAGCAAACTCTAGGCTTCACAGGTAAAGGGGACTGAACCCGCGAGTTTGGCGCCGAAGCGGATGAGAACGGAGAGCGCCGATCGACGGCAGCGGAGGAGAAAGCCCTATGGCGTGTTGGTGAGAGGGGTCCAGATCTGAAGCAAGGAGAAGAGGATCCAGCTTGGGTGTTCAACGGCTCTGGCTTCGCAAGTCCACCGTGAGCCCTGGGTGCCAACTTGGGGAGCAGCGCCAATGGGTTCGCTAACGGTCTTGGAGGAGCGAGAGGTTGGAAAGGCACCTGGAGTTCCTCCGGTTGAGGAGTGCCGTTCTTCTTGGCCAAGCTCTGGCTGATGCAGGAGGCGGCGATGTACCGTGAAATGGCGGCGGCGCTGGACGAGAGGCACCGCCGGACCGGTGAAGTGGGAAAGAGCTTCGGCGTCGGTGCTACGGGGACGGAAGCGGAGGGATCCGATTCTGCTGATGGATTGGAAGAAAGAGCAGGACGGGAGTCCCGTAAAGGCGACCCTGGACATAGGGGTGACGTTGTGCCGGGAACGTTCCTTAGCGAGGCCTCAGATTGAGGCTTTGAATGATCCAGAAACGGGGTCGCTGAGCCATGAAGGAGTGTTTTGGAGCGGTCGTTGCTCCAGTTTGGTCCCTTGGCATCCACATTATCACTTTGAGTCATATCTAGAGAAGGGGAAGTGTTGGTTCGGTTTGCCTGGAAGGCATCACTTGGAAGAGATGGAGGATGTTCCTCTTTCTGTAGCAATGGCGCTTCGGTAGTTTTGGAACTGAGAAACCTGGGTTTGGGTTTGTCTGGCGGGGCACAAATTATGGAAGCGTCTGTGTCCTGCGATTCTAAGGAAAAGCCAGAGACGTCGGTTTCTTTAGACGCCTCCAATTGGTTCCTGCAAAAGGACTGCGCAACCGCATCCCTTGGTGGTTTGGCATTCATGTGGCAAAGTGCTGCTTTGGTGATGCACTCGGAGGGCAAAGGAGACTCCCTTGCTTTGCTTCCTGTCGTTGGCATCGAAGGATTCAAATTGCATTCGGAGTTTTCCGATAAGTCTTTGTCTCGGGGGGCGTTGGGCTGAGCCTCCAAAGGTCCAGATGCAAGGCACAGCAAAGACTGGCGGAGAGGAGCCAAAAGGTCCAGCGAGAGCAATGGAGGCGGCCTTTCGCTGCGCAGCTCCAAAGCCGTGCCCCGAGTGACGGCAACGAGAGGCGTGTTTTCCTGGACCCCGACCACATGCTGGAAGGGCTCGTGGATGAGGACGTGGCCGTAGATCCGTGGCTCACCTGTGGCAAAGGGAGCAAAGAGGAAAAAAACACATAATCAACACCTTATTTCTCCAATCAAGACTTGCAATATTTTATCAAGACAGAGATTAATCAACAATCAAGTTGGTTAATCAAGAAAGCGCAGGTTCGCAGCTAGGGAGTAATCCTGGACTCTGTATTGTCGAAGGCTTTCATGGCTGGAATCACTAGGTTCTTGTAGGTTTTTTCGGGCTATAGGGCCATGTTCTAGAGGCATTCTCTCCTGACGTTTCGCCTGCATCTATGGCAAGCATCCTCAGAGGTAGTAAGGTCTGTTGGAAATAGGAAAATGGGTTTATATATCTGTGGAATGACTGGGGTGGGGCAAAGAGCTCTTCTCTGCTGAAGCTAGGTGTGAATGTTTCAGCTGACCACCTTCATTAGCATTTGAAGGCCTGGCTGAGCCTGGGAAAATGTTGTGAAGTCAGCCATAGCAGAGCACCTGATGAACCAACCTGGACACAGCATATTATTTGAGAACACAGAAATGCTGGACCACTCTCACAACCACCATGTCAGACTACACAGAGAAGCCACTGAAATTCACAAGCATGTGGACAATTTCAACAGAAAGGAGGAAACCATGAAAATGAACAAAATCTGGCTACCAGTATTAAAAAACTCTAAAATTGCAACAGCAAAACAGCAGAGAGGAAACAACCAGGCACATCTTAACACCTCTCAACAGAACATTTTCCCAGGCTCAGCCAGGCCTTCAAATGCTAATGAAGGTGGTCAGCTGAAACATTCACACCTAGCTTCAGCAGAGAGCTCTTTGCCCCACCCCAGTCATTCCACAGATATATAAACCCATTGTCCTATTTCCAACAGACCTCACTACCTCTGAGGATGCTTGCCATAGATGCAGGCGAAACGTCAGGAGAAATGCCTCTAGAACATGGCCCTATAGCCCGAAAAAAACTACAAGAACCTAATCCTGGACTCATCGCTAAGCCTGGAACCCCACGTTTCAGTGATGGCCAGGGAAGCTTTTGCACAGTTAAAACTTGTGTGTCAGGAGAAATAACAACAACAACAACAACATGCTATTTGTATTTTGCCCTATCTCCTCAAAGGGACTCAGGGCGGATTCCAACATACGAGGGTTGAATAAAAAGTAATTCTTCCACCCTTGTAATTCCTCAACAGATGGCAGTACTGGTATTTGGCACGCCTAGCTCCAACATACAAGAGTCCTTTGTCCCACCCTGGTCATTCCACAGATATATAAACCCTTTTTCCTAGTTCCAACAGACCTCACTACCTCTGAGGATGCTTGCCATAGATGCAGAAAACGTCAGGAGAGAATGCCTCTAGACCATAGCCATATAGCCCGAAAAAACCTACAACAACCCAATGCACTAAAAGTCGAGCTGGAAAAGAATGGGATTCTACTCTAGCTGATACAACTATGTGTCTTCTTACAACAGACGAGCTAAACTGCAGCTGTCCCCAACTCCATTATTAAGCAAGCGTTCGCATGTTAATCCAGACTTTACTGCTATTTCTTTTTCCGATACCAGATTTTCTGTTGAAGAAGTAATTCCCAAAAACTCAGTGTACAGTCAGCCCTCTATTTCAACCAAACTTGGCTCAAAAACTTTCTGGTTGTGCATTGGGTGTCCAGCCATCAAAAACATCCCCCAAAGACATACATAATGTTAGGACTTCACTCACATTGGGGGATGCTGGGCACTGGCTTCCCTTCCGGTGTCCCAACCGAGGTCCTGATGGGGCCCTTCCGGTATGGGGCCCGGGACCTCATCCCTGGCCTCTCCACTACCCTCTTTGGCACTTTCAGTCGGCTGATCTTCTCGCTATACATCTTCGCCAGTGCCTGGACTTTGCTGAGGATCCGTTCCGAGTTCTCCAAGAGGCACGGGTCTCCTCCGTTGTTTTCATAAATGTCCAAAGTGGGGAGATACGTGGGGGACTCCTCTGTGGGCATCCCCACTGCTTGTTTTCCCGTCGCCGCCTCGGCACCTTCTGGATCTCTGTTTGGAACCGGAGGGGGGTCCTCAAGGTCCGAATCCTCCACGATGCACAGGGGCTCGATGTATAGTGTCTTTTCGGGGGACGTATAGGACCGCCGATTGCCCCCTTCCATAGTTTCCCGCTCCTTCTCTTGCCAAGCTCTCCGGATCTCCGCACAGGACTTGAACTCGGGCTCGGCGAGGTCCTCCTCCAACCCGCTCCCTTGATCCATTTGGGCAACACTTGATTCCACATCAAGATGTGAATTCTGCTCGTTCTCAGAATGAAATGAATGGGACCTGCCTTGAGAGGGATGTTCGGTGCCGCCGCTTGCTGATTGGCCACCTTCGGAAGAGCTCCGCCCCCTTGTTGATGCTTCTGGCCTCAAGGATACCTGGCTCCGCCCCTCTTTGGAATCTTCATGGCTAGGAGACCTTTCTGTGTTACTTGATTGGCTTCTAGCGGACAGTGGGCGGACCTTTCTGGGCCTGGCCCCGCCCACTTCCCTGTCCGGAGACTCGCTCTGCCGGAGGAAGCTGTTGAACCGGAGGATGGACTCTCGCACCACCCCAGGTGGCACCGGAGGAGGAGCGTAGTCCTTCTTCACCACTGTCGCCACTGCCATCTCCACCCCTTCGTAGTAGTTCTTGATCTTCTCGATCAAGAGCCAGTCCTCCTTGGTCAAGGTGGAGTCCCGCTTGGGACCATCTTCTGTCTTCTTGACTGTCAAGACATCCCCTCTGGGGACACTCCATGCCTTTTGGAGGCCGACCTTTGGCCGACGGGATTGCTCACCATCTTCAGGGCAGACTTTCTCCCTGGTTTGGGTATTGTCTTGGTGGGAAACCTCATTGAGGGTCTCCTCCAGCTTTCCACTGGCTTCTTCGGAGGCCAAATCTTCCAGAACATGGAGGGGAGAAGGTCCGTCGGATCCTTCACGTGGCTGCTGTTCCTCTTCTTCTGAGGAGTCACTAGTAAAAGAGTGGTGAAGCACCGGGTCCAGATGGTCTTGGATGGTCTCCCTTGATGCATGGATGGCATCTATGGAAGGATCCTCCTGGAATTCGCCTTCTTCTTCTTCTTCTCCTTTTTCTTCTCCTCCTCCCAATACAACCTTTGGTGGGGTCTGGTCCTGAAGAAGGAGACAAAAAAAAAGTACACAATGGCAGTGGAGCTGGGCCAAAACTAATAGAATCAATTTCAGCATGGTGTTATGTACAATATAATGTATGGCGTATATAATATGAGAGACGAACATGGTTGTACAATGTTGCAATGGTCAACTCGTACTCAGGAGAGGTACAAATGAAGGTGAATAGAGAAGATGTCACGATCCCCACAAAAGCAATGAAGTGAACTAAGTGATACGTACAGTGTCCACATATCTCTAGTCTCTTTTATTTCCAGTCAAAAGCTAGAAATGAGGAGATTAAAAAAATGCAATAGTTCGATTCTGTAGAACAACTAAGGGGTGATTACTAGGGGTGTGCAAATCTTCGTTAGTCATATCTAATTCGTAAGTTTTGTATGTACAAACAGATATTAAAATAAGACATCCCCTGAAAATAAGACCTAGCACATCTTTGGGAGCAAAAAATAATGTCAGACACTGTTTTGTATAGACCCCTAGCCATCAAGATGGATTGCCATCTGTCAGGAGGGCTTTGATTGTGTCTCTATCTATCTATCTATCTATCTATCTATCTATCTATCTATCTATCTATCT